TTAGGGAATTCAAGACTTCATTAAGATGGTTGAGAATTTCTTGTATAAAAAAATACTTACGATCGCTCTCGTCCATGTTGTATTCACAAGTTATTTGAAAATCATCCCTATAATATTTCTGACACTTCGTTCATGAAATGTTTCGTTATGCCACTCTTTGATCGTATAATAGATTTAGTTCAAAATCATATTGTCATTTTAAAAAGCTTAGTAACATACACAATTGTCCGAAAACACGACATTAAAGGGGGTAGAATATGATATTTCTTTTAAGTATGGGTCAACTAGAAAGAAAGGCTTTGTGTTTTTTCTTTCCAAAAAGGTGTCAAAACGGTATTTTGGGTCTTACAGCAAGATAAAATATACTATCGATTATTTTTGGCGGATTGCGTTTAACTTTGACTTATACCTGTACGCCGATTTTTACAATGTGGTGGCACATTCCCTGAATTTATTTACTGTCTTATATGAATTTCTTTATATACTACTTTTCTTGAGTAATATATTGGAGAGACACGTATAGAAATACAAAGTGAAATTCCTAGTTTGAGATATTTTGTAAGGAAATATGCAATTTTTTGTGTACATTTCTAGTACTTCAGAAGAGCGTATACATATATTCAAGATCCAAATCAACCCGCTTTAGTGCAGTTTGTGGGAAAATTTGTGGTTATCTGTAAAAATAAATGAAATGAAGTTGAATGGTTACAGCTATCGTGTCATAATCTGCATGCTTGTTAAATTCGTATATGTACTTATTCTTGTTTGAAAGTCAGATATACGGACTACGTGTTGTAATAATGAAGAAAATTACACTATTGTGAAACACAATGTAAAATGTAGCCTATATCTAGTATAGGTTTATAGACCAATATAATATACTTGATTATGCATTCGTAACTTTCTTTTTTAGTCTTATAAGTAAATGTTATATATTGTCATAATACCTTTTAAAACAGAACACAATAGAAAAGTATTTGTATGTCATATCTTTGAGTTATATTTTGTGAGACATGGATACGATTTATTGAAGAAGGTTAATTGTCTGCTCAACTTTATCTAGGTCAACCAAAAGTCTGTTTACGATTTATGACTTTAAAGTACAATAGTTCGGGCATTTACTTAAATAAAAACTAAATATAATCTTTGGAAATAGAACAAAGAATAAAACAATAAATTTGATTATAATATCAATGAACATATATTTTTTGAAACGTTTCCAAAGACGAAAGATGTGTGAACCTGTTTATCAAAAGAATACTTTTTTTTATTTTTTAAGATCTAACACATTGTAAAATCAGTATGTTTTCCTGCGATTTCTGCATGAAACAATGATTTGAAGAATATTTAAAGAGATTGTAAAATGTGTATCGGGGACACTGATAACATCAGTTTTCACCATTCAAATTTTTAAATAAGACGTCCGTGGTTCCTACAGTTCTGCTGAAACTTTGTGTTTGATAACGTTACTAATCGCGAAGAGCCTTATGTGATAAAGCATAATTATTTTACGATTAGTGACGTCATCAAACACTTATTTTTAGCGGAATTGCAGGAACAACAGACGACTGATTGAAAATTGGAAAGGCGCAAAATCAGTGTCCCCGATACACTTTATAATTTAGAAAACCCATGTACAATCCATTTAAAAAAAAACAGATGCAAATATTTGTCAAGTGTAAATAAAATATTAGGATTGGATATCAAAACGATATCGACTTCTCTTTTCACCAATACGTTTTTTGTTAATATTCTATCCACGAACTCAATTAAAACAAACCTTTTACCTTTAGGATCAAAATTAGCAAAGATGTGGTCATTTCCATGTAGGCACATGACGTTTTAGCTTATTATATAGTATTGGAATATATACAAAATGTGTGTTAATAAGAAAGATTCTAAAACTTGCAATTTAAACTGCGTATATAAACAGATATAAGCTTTCTCCTCTATATTTGGCTCGTTTTCATCATCACTAATTTCATGTTTGTTACTTCCGGTATTACTATGTATAATCGGTGTTAAAGTCATATATCAGGGGATGGTTTTTCCAATATCTATCTAAACGACGCTCAAATGTTTTTACGTTATTAGCCGAAACAACACTGTCAGGTAGGCTATTCCACACTTCAACTACTCTCTTGGTAAAGTAATATTTCCTGATGTCAAGTCTGTTTTTAACTAGTTTGAGCAAATTTCCTCTTGTTGTTGAACTAGTATTGCGTGTGAAAAGACTATCAGTTACCCTTCGATTGTATACTTCAGTAACTATTTTATATGTTTCTATCATATCGCCTCTGTGTCTTCTAAATTTTAATGTTGGTAATTTCAGAGTTTTTAGTCGATCTTCGTATGATAGGCCTTTTAGGTTTGGTATTTGTAGCTCTACGTTGGACGTTTTCTATTATCTCAATATCCTTCTTACGGTAGGGGTTCCATACGCTGCTAGCATATTCCAAGTGTGGACGGGCTAATGCTTTAAAAAGTAGGCTGAAGGTTTTATAATCTAGGTACTTAAAAGTTCTTCTTATAATTCCAACTATTTGGTTTGCTTTATTGACTTGAGTCTATAGGTGTTTATCAAATCTCAGTTTTGAATCTATAGTCACTCCTACATCTTTCTCTGATTCGACTGTAACTGTAAGGATAATTTCGGCGCCATCGTATGTTGACATGTGTAGAGATTGGCTTTGATGATATTGGTAGAACCTTACACTTATCAGGGTGGAAACGCAGCAACTCCATTTTTCACTCCAATTGAACAGTCTGTTTATGTCGTTCTGGACTATGTTAATATCGTTTTCGTCTTGGATGGTTCTGTATAATTTGGTGTCATCAGCAAACATAAAGACATCAGATTCGGCCCAGGGCGATAGATCGTTAATGAATATTACAAATAGTATAGGTCCAAGCACTGATCCCTGCGGAATACCACTGGTCACATTATGCCATTTTGAAAAGTTTTCATTAATTTAAACTCTTTGCTTGCGGTCACTAAGAAAGTTTTGGGTCCAATTACACATCTCATACCATAAGATCTCAGCTTATTAATAAGACGTATATATGCGGGACTTTGTCAAAAGCTTTCATGAAATCAGTGAAAATGACATCAATCGACCCACCACTGTCTAAAATACTGGTCCAGTGATTGAGTACTCTTATTAGTTGTAATGAAGTTGATCTGCCTCCGATAAAGCCGAATTGTCTATTGCTGAATAAATCATATTTGTTCATGTGGTCAACGATTTTCTTTCTGATTAGTTTCTACATAATCTTACATAATAATACTTGTTAAGCTGACAGGTCTGTAGTTTGAAGCTAGCTTCTTGTTTCCTTTCTTGAAAAGAGCTGTAATTTGACCGCTTTTCCATTCTTTTGGTACCGAACCTGATATAAATGAGCTATTGAAAATCATGCATAGTGGGTCATCAATAACGTTGGCCAGTTCGATGAGCACTTTAGGGTGTATTTGATCAGGTCCAGGTGACTTTGAGGTATTAAGGTTTTTTAATAGTTTATTAACATCTTCTGGTTTAAAGAACTCGTTACTTGATTCTTCATTGTATGGAATACTTTCTAGAAGTGTGTCATCGTTGTCATCTTCTACTGTAAATACGCTGGTAAAATATTCTGCCAATACCTCTGCCTTTTCTGAATCCGTACTTGCTACAACTTTTTGTCCATCTTTTGTAACATGTAGTTCTGCTACACCACTTTTAGATTTCCGCTTTGCGTTAACGTAGGACCAAAAGTTTTTGCAGTTAGATTTCGCTGACTCTGCTATTGACCTCTCCCCGTTTTTCCTTTCTTTGGAAACGGTTGACTTTACCTTATTTCGTGCTTTAGTGAACTCCCGGTATCTTTCATTATCTCTTTTGTGACGATATTTTCCCCATGCTCTGTGTTTTTTCCTTATCACTTGCCTGGCCTCAACAATAAGAGGTGTCTTAAAGTTCTTTGTTGAGATATGTGTAAATTCATAGCTTCATCTATTTTTTTCATAAATTCTCCTACCATGTTTTCTGTGTCTTTGTCCGCTAGTATCTCAGTCCAGTTAATAGTCATATTATGTTGTTTTAACTTCACATAATCTGCTTTGAAATAGTTAAACTTCGCACTTTTAGAGTTCTCATATGTCACGTAACACTTAAAGTCAAAAATCAGCACATTATGATCACTGCGTCCTAACGGGTCTTGATATTCGATGTTCTGAATGTAATTTTTGTCATTTACCAAGACAAGATCCAGTAGTGATTCATCATGGTTAATACGATATCGTGTCGGTTTGTCTACCATCTGCAGAAAGTAACAGTCTCGAATACATTCCAGGAACTTCATGCAAATATTGTCTCTGGAAAACCAAGTTTCCCAGTTGATATGAGGAAAGTTGAAATCGCCATTCAGGAGTATGTGTGAATATGAGTCACCCAGTTTACTGATATTCAGGAGTAGGTCACTTAATAGGTTATGGTTTTCTTCTGATGAAAATGGACTCTTGTAGATACAACCAACTAATGGTTTATCTTTATTCACTAGGCTGATCTCTAAACATACGTATTCTTTAAATTCGTGTTTCAGGTCTAGCTCTACTGCTTTAAGCTCCTGTTTAACGTACACAATAATTCCACGTACACTGTTAGACGGAAAGCTCTCCGGGAAGATATCGAAGCCATCAATTGATAGTTCTGGTTTCGTAATACAGTATCTACTGTTTTTAGGAAGAACTTCTGTTATTATGATGTTAGGAATGGATTCGGCATTGATAAATCTGGCTTTAAACTCATTAAATTTGTTTACAAAGCTGTCAGCATTGGTATAAACACATTTAAGTTCTGATGACACATTGGTTTGATTTAAGTCATTAAAATGCTTGTCACCATTAGCTTTAAACGAATTTACATTATGTACAGTGCCAGCACTGGATATTAAGCCTCCTTTAATACTCTTACCACTCTTCTTGCCCAGGGTGGTCTTCGAACTAAGAAGAAATGGTTTCCCGATTAGTCCTTTTCTGTTTTCTCTTTTGCTTCTCTAAACATAGCTTTGTTAAGTTCCCTCTCGGACTTTGTCATATCATGGGTCACACTGATGTTGCAGAATTTGCTTCCTTCTTCTGCATTCTTCAGCTTCGACAGATTTATCATGAAACTCTTCTTGTCTTCGGTATTATTTAAACAAACTTTCATAGGCCTTGGTTTCTCTAAATCATCTGATTGTTTACCAATTTTCATCACTTTACCAATGCAGCCAGTGCTTGTGCGTAAATAATCTGCAAGTTCTTTGGCAAACAAGGTGTCTGCTTCTTTACGAGAAGAAGGAAGTCGCTCTTTGCATTCTGGTGCTCCATGAATAATAATATTTTTCTCCCTGCTGGAGCTGTCCCTAATTTCTGCTACTTTTAACTCCACAGATTTTTCAATATCAATTTTAGCTTCATTAGTGACACATGAACCAATCAACGATTTTACAATGTCATTCACTTGTTCAGCGCTTACTTTCAATTTAATTTCCGTTTCCAGATTTATCAGTCTGTTTTCCATTTTCATCATANA